TACTTTCCTTCTATTCCTAGTTTTCTTAGAGCTTTTATCATGAAGTGATGTTGGATCTTGTCAAGGGCTTTTTCTGCATCTACTGAGATGATCAAGTGGTTTAGTCTTTGCTTCTATTAATGTGCTGTATTACATTTATCGATTTTCTTATATTGAACCGCCCCTGCATCCCTGGAATGAAGCCAACTTGGTCGTGGTGAATGATCTTTCTGATGTGTTGTTGGATTTGGTTTACCATTATTTTATTGAGGATTTTTGCACTGATGTTCATGAAGGAGATTGGCTTATAGTTCTTTTGGAGGTGTTTTTTTCTGGTTTTGGGATGAGTGTAATACCGGCTTCATAAAATGAGTTAGGCAGTGTTCCTTCCCTTTCTATTTTGTGGAACAGTTTAAGGAGGGTTGGTATTAGTTCTTCTTTAAAGGTCTGATAGAATTCAACAGAGAATCCATCAGGTCCTGGACTTTTCTTTTTTGGGAGACTCTTTATTGCTGCTTCAATTTCATTTTGTATTATAGATCTATTTAGGTAATTAATATCCTCTTGGTTCAATTTTGGACGGTCATAAGTATCTAGAAATATGTACATTGCTTCAAGATTTTCAAATTTACTGGAATATAGGTTCTAAAAGTAGTCTCTGATGATTTCCTGGATTTTTGTGGTGTTTGTTGTAATCTCCCCTTTTGTATTTCTGATTTTACTGATTTGGGTTTTTTCTCTCCTCATTTCAGTCAGGTTTGCCAGGGGTCTGTGAATCTTATTTATTTTTTCAAAGAACCAGCTTTTTGTTTCATTGATTCTTTGTATGGTTTTTTTTTTTTTTGGTTTCTAGTTCATTGATTTTGGTCCTTATTTTTATTATTTCTCTCCTTCTGGTTGTTTTGGGATTTACTTGTTCTTGTTTTTCTAGGAGTTTGAGATGTAGCCTTAGGTCATTGATTTGAGGTATTTCTGTCCTTTTATTATATGCACTCATGGCTATAAACTTTCCTCTTAGGACTGCCTTTGCTGTGTCCCATAGGTTTTGGTAGGTAGGGTTTTCATTTTCATTAACTTCCAGGAACCTTTTAATTTCCTCTTTTATTTCTTCAATGACCCATTGATCATTGAGCAATGTGTTGTTCAGCTTCCAATTGTTTGCATGTTTTCTACTGTTGTTTTTGTGGTTGAGTTCTAGTTTTAATGCATTGTGGACAGATAGATCACATGGGATTATTTCTGTTTTCTTATATTTGCTGAGGCTTGCTTTGTGTCGTAAGATACAATCAGTTTTGTAGAAGATTCCATGGGCTGCTGAGAAGAATGTATATTGTGCAGCAGTTGGATAAGATATTCTGTAGACATCAGCTAGGTCCATTTGGTCTATGGTGTGATTTAGTTCTAGAATTTCTTTATTGAGTTTTTGTTTGGATGACCTATCAGTTGGTGATGGGGGGTATTAAAATCTCCCACTACCACTGTGTTGGAGTCTATATATGTTTTTAGGTACTTTAGAGTATGTTTGATGAAATTGGGTGCATTGACATTGGGTGCATGTAGGTTGATAATTATTATTTCCTTTTGGTGTATTTCCCCTTTTCTTAGTATGGAGTGTCCTTCTTTATCTCATTTGATCAATGTAAGTTTGAAGTCTACTTTGTCTGAGATAAGTATTGCTACTCCTGCCTGTTTTTGGGGGCCATTGGCTTGGTAAATCATCTTCCAGCCATTCACCCTAAACCAGTGCTTGTTTCTGTTGATGAGATGTGTCTCCTGTAAGCAACAGATTGTTGGATCTTCTTTTTTAATCCAGTTTGCCAAATGGTGTCTTTTGATGGGGTAGTTAAGTGGGTTAACATTCAGTGTTAGTATTGATAGGTATGTGGTGATTCCTGTCATTTAGTTTTTTTTGTTGTTTAAGTGTTTGATTGTGTGCAGCTGAATCAATGTTACTCTCTACTTTCTTGCCTTTTCTTTTTCTGTAGTTTGGTACTACCTGTCCTTTCATGGTTTTGTTTTTTTTCATGTTCTGTGTGTAGAATTCCTTGAAGAATCTTTTGTAGTGCTGGCTTGGTGGTCATATATAGTTTTAGTTTCTGCTTATTGTGGAAGACTTTTATTGGTCCATCTATTTTGAATGATAGTTTTACTGGGTAGACTATCCTAGGGTTGAAGTCATTTTCATTCATTGCCCAAAATTCCTCACTCTGTGCTTTCTTGCTTTTAAGGTTTCTATTGAGAAATCTGCTGTAATTTTGATGAGTTTACCTGTGTATGTTATCTGTTTTTTTCTCTCTTCCAGCCTTGATTATTCTTTTCCTATTCTCTGTGTGTGTTGTTTTAATGATACTATATCAGGGGGTAGTTCTATTTTGGTCAAGTCTGTTTGGTGTCCTGGAGGCTTCCTGTACCTGAATGGGCATAGTTTTCTGTAGATTTTGGAAATTTTCTGTTATAATTTTGTTGAATATATTATGAATTCCTTTTGATTGTACCTCTTCTTCTTCAATGCCCATGATTCCCAGGTTTGGTCTTTTGATGGAGTCAGTGAGTTCTTTCATATTCCTTTCACAGGTCTTGAGTTGTTTGACTAATAGTTCTTCACTTTTTTCTTTAATTTCCATTTCATCTTCAAGTTCTGAGAGTCTGTCTTCTGCTTGTTCTAGTCTGCTGGAGTGACCTTCCATTGTGTTTTGTATTTCTGTTTCATTCTTTTTTTTGAGGCTTTCCATATCATGGGTCACTTCCTCTTTAATATTGTCAATTTCCATCCTTAATTCATTTATCTCTATGTTTCACTTTGGTATTTATTTGGGGCTCATATGAGTTCATTTATGTATTTTTGTGTCTGCTCATATTCTTTATTTTTGTTGTCTTGGAATTTCTTGAGTGCCTCCGGTATGTTTTGGTTGATCATGTCTAGTAACATCCCCATGAAATTCTTAGGGATTACTTGTAGGATTTCTTCTTTCAAGATATTCTTGTCAGCTCTATTGGGTTCCTTGGCATAGTTCATCTTTGTTTTGTTGGAGTCTGGAACTGGGTATCTGTTTTCTTCATTTACCTCTCAATCCTGTATTAATTTATTTTTGGGGGGAGAATGGTTTCCATCCTTTTTTTGTCTTCCAATCGCTCCACTTGGTGCTGTTTCTGTCCCTAGTCTGTGTATAATTTAGTATTAGCTAACTTACAATAGTAAAACTAACAAAACAAAGAAAGAAAGCAAAAAGAAAAAGTAAAGAGAGAACCAAATACATCAACAGGGAGAGGTGGTCAACAAATAAATAGGGAACAAAATAAACAAACACATAAAAAAAATTCCAGGTTCAGGAACAATAGAATTTCAGTCTTAGTAGTTCTGATGTTACTCCTTCAGCATTTAGTCCTGGTGTTGGTATTTAAGCAGAAGCTCTGTCTTAGTCTTAGTCTTAGTTGGGGAGCCTGGACAGTTTTCTTTCCTTTTTTTCAGCAGCAGCTGCTTAGTCAGCTCCTCCCTCAGTGAGGTGTGACTTGTCCTCATGTTCTGGAGATCAGCTGTGTGACCCACTAGCCATTCTGCTTTGGAGTTGGGTTTTTGCTGTGTTGTTTTACTAAGAGCTTGTTTCTTTGCCTTGAGCCATTTCTCTAGGGCAAGGTCAGAGATTCATCAGCTGGCTCTCTGCTGTCTGCGTGTTATGCTGGTTTGCTTACTGTTTTTCAATTTTGTAACGTCATTTGACTTTGAATGTTGCCTACTGGCTCAGGAGATGAGTTTTGTGGACCACTATCTGCCCTATTTCAGGCAGCGTCTTGTCACTTGCCCACTGTTGGCCGTTCTGCCTTTCCAGTCTTTGTTTACTGAAAGTTTGCACAGAGATCAGGTCCTTGTCTCTCCCCCTTCTCCAGTGCACTCAGAGCATCCCACCCCCTCTGCTGCTTGTTCCTTTTCAGTTCCTTGTTTATTATTCAGTTCTTTTGTTTTTTTTGTGGGGTGGTGGTCAGTCTGTCCAGGGGCTATGCTGGTTTATCCCAGGGGATACCTCATGCGGATTATTTGCTCACCTGTTGGTCTGCATCTCCTAAGCAGGTTTGGAACCGGCATCTGGTGATGCAGGAGCCCTCCTATTTTCTCAGTGTAACATGGCATGGAGAAGCTTTGTATGAGTTGGGGATTCAGGGTGTCAGAGTTTTGATTCTTCTTGGTGGTTTTGTTCTGCCAAGTGTTGCTCCAGCTTCTCAGGAAAGTTTTTGATTTACAGAGTTCATGCTTTCTGCTTCTGCCCTCTAGTCACCATCTTGGATCCTTTGGCACTTTCATTAGTTCTATATCTTGCTAAGAATGTGTATCTGTGTCTTTGTCTATATATGGTGTGAGCAGAGGAAGCACATGGAAGCATTGAGAGCTGAGGGATTTAACAGTTTTCATTGACAAATGCTCTCTGTCCATTTGTTTGAGAGAGAGAAAGAGAGTGCATAAATCATCTCTGGACTTCTGCAAAATATTTATTGATTGTCTGAATTAACTCTAAGTAAAATGAAATGAAGTGCTCTGTTTAAAAAATGAGATACACAAGTAAAGGAAATTTGAAATGCTTAAAGACTGTAGGGGAGGTAGATATTGTCCATTAAGCCATGGGTAACAATTGCTCACACAAGTGCTACAAGTCTGTAGTTGAGCATGGTAGCAGAGGACTTGGGTGGAAGGGATCCTTTAAAATAATTTCAATAACAGTGGCATGAAAGAACAAGACCAGAACATGGCTGTAATGGTGTATAACAGAATGAAAATCCCCGAGGAGAAAACAAAGGATTCTCTTGCCTGTATATCAGATAGATGGATAGAGATAAGTGAATGTCTCACAGAAGGGACAATGTGCTTATTAACTAGTGATCTTTAGAGGTATTTAAAAATTGTATGTGTTCTCCATTTTTTCCAGAACAACTGAATCCTTGGAAATTACTCACAGTGTGGCCATCCACTGTGCATCCTTTCTGGGTCTACCAGAGAGGTGGGTGGCCTGGTGGTGCAAGTGAAGAGGGGCATGGCTCGGATGCTGCTGGAATGCAGTCTCAGTGACAAGTTGTGTGGCAAGTACAGATACCACAGTGCCTATCCTCTGATGTTAGGGTTTTGGAGACTACACTCTGGATAGATTCTAGTGGGTAGAAGGCTTCATTTCTAATAAAAATGAAGATTGTGATGATAAAAAAAGTGGGCATTAAGGCCATTGTTCTTGTGGAGTGGAGGGTAAATGCTAGAGTTCCAGAAACCAGAAAAATGACAGAAGAGGCATAATGCATAATTGATGGGTTAAGAAATGGGAACATTGGGGTTCTGGTTAGAGTTGCTCCCAGTAGTGTTCCATTTAAAGTGGAAGGCAGAAGAGATGACCTTTTCATGTATGATGAGCTGAGGACTGGTGGGTAAGGGTAATTGTGTAGCATCTGGACAGGTTCTTAATTTTCTTCTCTCTGGCTTGATTTCTATCCAGTTATCCAGGAGAAGCAGTATGAAGTGATCATTGTCCCAGCTCTTCTGGTTGGTGCTTTCCTTATCATTCTTGCAGTCATCTTATGGCTTTTTATCAGAGGACAAAGAACCCAACAGCAGTGTCCTGGACCCCGAGGTAAAACTCAAGCTTAGGGGATGGTCAAGGATTTAGGGAAGATGGATAGTAGGAGAAATGTGGGGCAGGTTTCAACAAGGCCAACTCTAGGATTCTGGATTCTTTCAATGAGAAAGTCATGGGTTTTCTCTGATGGGTAGAGACGGGGTGATCTCTTGTCCAGGAAGTAATGAGTAGGAGCTCCAATCAGACTTGATGACTGAAAAAAGAATAGGCAAGAGAGGCCTTATGTAAGCTTCCTTCTGTCCTGCTTGTCTTATTTGTCAAACCTTTGATTATGAGTAACTAGGAATCAAGGAAGAAGAACTAAAAGGTAAACCCAGAAAATTTGTTAACATCTTTGAAGGATAACATTTTACTCTATGATACATCCAAAATATATGATGAAGAAGAATGGCTTTCATACTAGTCTTTGGAATGTTAAGTCAGAGATGCTAACAAGTTCTTCTGGAATGATAATTATTTAATAAAAGGGAATCAGCTCATAAAATACACTAAGTGTGTCAGGCACCCATGGCTTCTGTCTGTAATCCTAGCTATTTGGAAGGTTGAGATCAGGAGAATCAGGAAGTCAGCCTGGAAAATAGTTCTCAAGACCCCATCTCCAAAATAATTACAGCAAAATAAATTGGAGGTGTGTCTCAAGCAGTAGATTGCCTGCTTTGCAAGCGCAAATATCTGAGTTCAAACCCCCGTCCCACCTGATAAATGATTCTAAGTATAAAAAGAAGCAAGATATACTTCTCCTTTTGTCATTTTCTTCTCTAACATGCATTGCCTCCTATACCATTATCTGCCCAATCACTAGAAAGTAGTCTTCAGGTGAATCTGGACTGTGCCTATTCCCAACATTATTACCAGTGTCTGGTAAATAGGTAGCAATATTTATTTAATAAGTGGATGAGTTAATGAATGGTTAGAAATTTATTAAGAAAATTTGAACCATTCTTTTCCAACTGGAGGAAAATATATGATGGCTAAGGAAGGGAGAAAGTTTCAGAACAGTTTTGTGAATAAGACTCAAGGAAATATGAAATATTTTGACTTTTTCAGACAACTTGAGAAAGAAAGAATAACCATAGCTTATAGTACAGTAGTTATCCTTATCTGTTTCCAACTTTGGAAGCTATGTGAGTGACTTTAATAGCAGTACTACTCTCACAGATCAGGGTGTCTGTGGTGTTGATGCTCTTTCAGAAACTTCCTTGTTTCCATTCTACAACCATGGGGAATACTGAATTATAATCCTGAGGAAGACAAAAAGGAAATGTCATGACCATTTCCAGGGGTTTAGCATGAATTGTCTTAGAAGGAACAGGATTACTATAAAGGCTCTACAAGTTTGGTGTTAGTGTTGGTTCATAGAGAAGCAGCAGAATATATGCCCACATTGATCAGAGAGAAAACTGTTCCTGGCCAGTTTGTTTCAGGCTTTGATTTTCTGGAGGTCCCAGGGGGAAGAAACAACTGGTTGATACCATCTCCTTGTTCTAGGAGTTGCACCTGTGCTTCCATTGAGGAGCCTAAGCAGGGAAGCAGCAGGACATGGAGGAGAAGTGTTTGTGCCACTTGAGGAGACATCCATGGAGAGCTTTCTACAAGCTTCTGCACCTTCCCTGGCTAAGCTGCAGGTGCCCCGGGAACAACTCTCTGAGGTCCTGGAGCAGATCCATAATGGCACTTGTGGGGTCATTTATCGAGCCAACATGAACACTGGGGACCCAGCTAAGTCCAAGAGTGTTGTCCTCAAGACCTTAAAAGGTAAAATGAAAAGTGTTTGACTTCCTTCCCCTTTATACTTTCTTTTATCGTGAGTCCATAATAGTGCATTTTACAGATTTTCAAACATTATCACAATTGTGTAGAAGAAAAGGTGGAAGCTTGAGACAGAAATGTCCCTCCTGGAGCCATTTGCTCTCTGTATTTGATGTACTTGTATTAGGATTATGAGATTGTTTCTTCAGCATTTTTTACTCCTTTTAAACAGTGTATGTTAATTGTACAAAGGAGTTTCATTGTGATATTTCCATATATGTGTACATTAAAGAAATGAGTCCTCTATTACTCTTTCTTATCCCTTTTTTCTTTAAAATGTTTAATGGGTTTCATGATTCTATTTTCACACACACACACACACACACACACACACACACATGAAGTATTTCAATCTTATTTGATTCCCTTTCACCACCTCTTCACTCTTTCCCCTCATGCTGGTTCCCAACCACAGACAGTTCCCCAGTTTTACATTCATATCATTCAGTTTTTTAAAAAACTTTTATTTTATTTTATATGTTTAGCAGTACTGGGGTTTGAACTCAGGACCTGGCACTTGCTAGGCAGGTGCTCCACCAGCACTCATTCAGTTTTTTTTTTTTTTGCAGGTCTAGATTCCACATATGAGAGACAACATATGATATTTGGCAGTACTGGGGTTTGAACTAGTGCCTTTGTGCTTGCTACGTAGGCACTCTACCACTTGAACCACTTCCAACTGATATTTGTATTTTTGAGTCTGCCTTATTTCACTCAATGTGATGATTTACATTTTTATCTATTTTCCCACAAAAGACATAATTTCATTTTTCTTTATGGCTGAATAATAGTCCATTGTGGATACATAACACATTTTCTTTTTCTACTAATCAGTTGATGGACACCTAAACTTATTCCATAGCTTGGATAATGTGAATAATGCTGCTATAAATATGGGCTGTAATGTATGATGACTTACATTCTTTTAGATATATACCCAGGAATGGCATAGCAGATCACATGGTGGTTCTATTCATAGTTAATTGAGGAACCTCCATACTGATTTCCATAGTGGCTGCAGTAATTTACATTCACCAACAGTATGTAAGAGTTCCTTTTCTCCCTGATTCTGGAGTAGCTAGTATTACAGGTGTGAGTCACAGATGCCTACCTTTTGTTTTCTTGATGATAGTCATTCTGACTGGGGTTAGATGGAATCTCAGGGTAGTTTTGATTTGCATTTTCTTTTTTACTAATCATGTTATTCATATATTTATTGGACATTTGTACTTTAGAGAACTCTGTGTTCAATTCATTTGCCCATTTATGAATTGGGTTATTTGTTCTTTTGGTGTTTAATATTTGGACCTCCTTATATATTCCATATATTAATCCTTTATCCAGTGATAGCTGAAAAACATTTTCTTCCATTCTGTAGTTTGTCTCTTGATTCTGGTAGCTGTTTCCTTTGCTGTGCAGTAGCTTTTTAATTTTATACAATCCTACTTTTCAATTCTTGTTCTTATTTTCTGAGCAATTGGGGTTCTATTCAGAAAAATGTTACCTATGTATGTTCTCTTCAAGAGGTTTTCCTAGAGGAAAAACTCTAGCAGTTTCAAAGCTTCTGGTCTTAAATTAATATCAAAATGGATCTTTGGTCTATTTGGAGTTGATTTATGAACATGGTGAGAGACAGGGATGTAGTTTCAGTATTCTACCTCTGGATATCCACGGTTTCCAAAACCATTTGTTGAAATGTCCTTTCTGCAATGTAGGGTTTTAGCACCTTTGTCAAAAATCAGATGACTGTATCTGTGTGGGCTTATTTCTGGATCTTCTACTCTATTTCACTTATCTGTTTCTGTGCCAGTACCAAACTGTTTTTGTTACTACAGTTCTGTAATGTAATTTGAAGTTAGGTATTGTGACGTGACTCTTTTGGGGTCTTTTGTGCTTCCAAATGAGGTTTTGGATTTGCTTTTCTATTTCTGTGAAGGTTGACATTGGAATTTTATAGGTTGCTTTCAGTAATATAGCAATTTTTCACAGTATTTGTTCTGACAATTAACATGGGTGTTCTTTCCATCTTCTAGTGTCTTATTCAATTTCTTTGAGGTTTTATAATTTTCATTGTAGAGGTCTTTTTTATCTCTTTAGTTTGGTTTATTCCTAGGTATTTTTTTAAGGCTATTGTGAATGGTATTGTTTTCCTCATTTCTTTCTCAGCCTGAGAAGCTACTGATTTTTGCGTGTTGATTCTGTATCATGCTACTTTTCTGAAAGTGTTTATTAGATCTAAGAGTTCTTTTTTACTGGAATCTTTAGGATCTCTTAAATGTAAGATTGTATTTGCAAATAGTGTAATTAAACTTCTTCCTTTCCTGTTTTTATTCCTTTTATTTCTCTCTTTTGTCTTATTGCTCTGGCTAAGAATTCTAACACATTGAATATGCATGGAGAGAATGGACACTCTTATCCATTCCCATGATTTGTGTATATCATACCATCCTTGCATTACTGGAATGAAACCAGCTCGATCACTTGAACATGTACTTTGTTTTACAAGTATGTTATTTAGAATTTTTGCATCTATGTTCATCAAGAAAATTGGCTTAGAATCTTTTTTTGTCATGCCCTTATCTGATTTGGATTTACTTGTGTTTCTACATTTGGATTTATGCATCTGAAGCCAAGTTGTTGGTTGGAAATTTTAAATACCTGTTGTGTTTCAGTTGAAATAGTAGCAATGTCAATTCAGGACACTCTGACTACTGCACACCTCACTGCCAAAGCTCCCTGGTGCTGGAACTTCTCTGTGGCATCTGTCAGACACTTTTCCTCTTTGCAATGACCTTTTTTGGCTGTCTTCTACCAAGGCACTGTGGCAGGGTGTACCAAGACTCCCTGGGCCACAACTGCTCCTTGTTTTCAAGTCCCCAGAACAATTCAGTCTCAAACCATAGACCCTCAAGGTGGTGTCTTGCTACAGCCCTCTGAGATAAAGGAAGTGACAAAATGTTTTTTCTTCTTTGAAGAAAATGATACAGCAATCACTGTATCATTGAATCCATGCACTAGATTTAAGGCTGGTGGGAGGTGTGGGCTTATCTTGCAGCTAGAATTGCCAGTCTGTCACAAGGGCTGTCTGGCTTGCCTTGTGCAATTGTCTTCAACTTCCTCTCCCCCTTCCCAGGAGCTGGGAGCTTGCATTTGTGGTTCAGTGGTAGAATTCTCCAGGGAGCTTGGAGCCACCTTGAGACTATTTGCAGCTTTTCTTTGTTGCCACAGTTCCTCCATGCTTTTCTGGCCTGCCACCTCTTTCATGCTTCCGATATTATTCTTCTCTTTCTCTCTTCAGAATGTAGTCTCTTCTGTGTTACCTTACTCTTCTCATTCACAGAGTCAAAATGGTGTGGGTGCTCCTAATCTGCCCTCTAGCTACCTCTGAGTTTTCCTCACTGTTTGATACCTTTTTTTTTAGGCAGTACTGGAATTTGAATTCAGAAATTACTCTACCACCTTTTTTGCTTTAGTTTGTTTCAGGTAGTCTCTCTTTTTGCCTGGGGTAGCTTTGAAGCACAATCCTCTCACCTTTGACTCCTGCCTCAGGGAGTATAGACATGTACCACCATACCTGGCTTGTACCACCACACCTGGTTTGTTTTTAAGATACAGACTCACTAGCTTTTTTTGCCCAGGCTGGCCTTGAACTGTGATCCTCCCATCTCCACCTTCCATATAACTGGAATTACAGGCATTTATCACCTTGCCAACCTTTGATACCCTTTCTTGATTTATTTCTCTATTTGTCTTTTTTGCTAATACTCATGATATAGACCATTAACAGTGGATATATAAAACAGAAAAGGTTAAGATAAGCAAGAATACTAATCAAAAGGCCCAAACAGTTATTATATTTTAATGTCAACAGAAAAGGTGTCAATTTAGGAGCAGTCTGTGGATATCATGTGATTCATATTGTCTGGGCTCAAGGATCTCTGACCCATCTAAAAGCCAACATGGGTAGCCAAGAGGCAGGCCAGCCTATTAAAAAAAATTAGCAAGTCTATATCTTACTAGCCCATCCAGTTCTAAGACCTGTGAGTCTGTTATTTTTGATAGATGATCAGTGACACTGAGCATAATTTCCATCTATCCTGTTCCTTTTCTATTTACTTTTTATCTACACGTCTCCCCATGAGGGACCTTGAGAATTACCACCTGAAGTGAAGTTGTTTCTTTATTTCATCAGTTATGCTGTGAGTGCCTACGGTTCTGTCTCCTTTGTTCTCCACAGAACCAGCTGGGCTACATGAGGTACAAGACTTCATAGGGCGAATCCAATTCTATCAGCACCTGGGGAAACACAAGAACCTGGTACAGCTGGAAGGCTGCTGCACAGAAAGTCTGCCTCTCTATATGGTGCTGGAGGATGTGGCCCAGGGGGACCTGCTCAGCTTTCTCTGGACCTGTCGCCGGGTGAGCAGTTGGATGAAGTTTTTAGGAGGGAAAGACTTCACTTGGTTGGTTAGCTGTTTGCATGCCAATTAGCATCAGAAATAACAAAATGTAGAGACAATATAACAGCATAACAGAGTAACTAAATATCCCTGTCCAATAGAGCTTGCTCTGTGTACTGGTAGTTACTAGTCATATGTGGTATAAATATCTGAAATGTGGCGGTATGACTGAGAAGTTGAATTTTTAATTTTATTTAATTTGAAATAGTGTAAGTTTAAATAGATATATGTGGCTAATAGCTACCATATTAGGCAGTACAAGTTGAGAGCAGGGATTCTCGCCTCTATCTACTGGATGTATGACTTTTAGCAATTGTTTCTCTGATCTTGAGTTCTCTATATCTGTAAAATGGGAGTCATAATAAATTATTACAAAAATTAAAGACATTATATATGTAAAACATAACAGTGAATGGTACTTAGTAAGCACTCAACATTGTAGCTTTTATAATGATAATTGTTTCAATATAACTGTTGTTAGTAGTGATTGTAATTCTATTACTGTTAGGTATATTTTTCTATGCTATAATAATTCCCCTAGTATGCCAAGATTGATGAGGGAAAAATTCAACTTGAAAGTGTTTAACCCTCACACTTGTGTTTTTAACAGTTAAAGTGTTCAGAAATTTCTAGACTTACACAAAAGTCCTTTTCTTCAAAATTTCCTTAGTTCTCTATTTATTCCTCTTTCTGAAGAGCTACCTGTTTTCCTAGTTTCTCACTTGCTAACGTGCAAATTAACTACTGAACTTCTACAATATGCTGAGTATTGTATAACTGGATGTGTTTGAAAAAGCACCCAATTAATGTCTTTCATTCTGTGATGTAAGGAGGACAATGTGCAGATCCTTAGATACTTTAAATATTTTAAGAGGATATCCATCTATGACTTGTTCTATGCTCTAAACCTACTAGCTTATATCTGTTTTTTCACAACTATCATGTTTCTCCATCTTAGAACATTTTCTTATTACACCCTTTTCCTCTTTGCAGTTAATTTTCATTCATCCTTCATCAGAAGATTTTTCCGTCCCTCCAGTTGAATCAGCTGTCTTCATTCCACCATCACACACTCTCCTAGTACTCTGTACATTTCCTTCATGGTACTTATGACATATAAACATTTATTTAAATTATTTGATACTAATTTACGTGTTTCCCAAACAATTCGCTCCAGAAGGCAGCAGCTATGCTTATTTTACTCACTTTTGTATTCCAAGAGTTTAACATTGAAACTGGTACATTACAGGTCTTCAATAAGCATGCATTGAATTAATGTGCTCAATTAATCATGCACACATATGTGTGCATTCACACACACACACACACACAGCCCCAGAAAAAAATTGTTGCTATATTCAATGGATAGACTTCTACAGCTTTTCCTCACTTCCTTCCTTTTCCTCCTCTCTCTTTCTTTCTCCTTCTCTCTTTTTTTTCTTTTATTTGCTTCATGGTTTCAGAGCTATCAGTCCATCAAGGTGGTGAAGGCATAGTGGAGTACGGAAGCTCACATCATGGCACACAGGAAGACAGAGAATGCCTGTATTGTGCGCTTCTTCTTTCCCCCTTCTTATTCCAACATCATCCCCAGCCTATAGGATAGTTCTGACCACATTTATGGCAGGCCTTTCCCCATTAGTTAATGGTCTCTGGAAACACCACTACTGACACACACAGAGGTGTGCTTTACTAATCTCCTAGGTACTTCTTAATGCAATCACACACCTGTCTTTTTTATCCGCTATTCATCTACATTCTTCTTTCTGAAGTACAATAAATCTGCATATATGAAAATCTCTATCAGTTTATTGACACTTGTTTTATTATATTTTCCTTAGCTTTGATATCTGCATTTCATAGTACCTCTACCACAGTATTTAAATCAAATATGTTAATGCCACTTTGATAAAATGCTTTTTTATCCCATTTCTTTAGGATGTGATGACCATGGATGGTCTACTCTATGATCTCACTGAAAAACAAATATATCACATTGGAAAACAGGTCCTTTTGGCTCTGGTAAGATAAAGCTAAATGAAAACAGATGGTTGGGATTTTTCTTACTAGTCTAGTATTTTATGTCATATTTCTCAGATTCATTTTCTCAAATGGGGCATATGTTTTAAGAAAATTAGATAAAGTTAGGGGGTAGACACTCACTGATAAACTGTTTTTAGTACATTCTTTTGGAATCATGTGGGCAGTATACTACAGGATTGGTAATTCCAGGCAGAAGGTGGTCAACTTTGGATTTATAGAAGGAACAGGAAAGATTTTAAAAGTTTGTTCTGTATTCAGTTTCAAAAGTCAAAGCCAAGAGCTATTTACTTTATACTGTTACTTCTCCTTACATATGTCTAATAAAGACTATAAAGGGGGAAAATAGGGAGCTACATGGATAAAGACACGAGAAGAAAAACTGAATAGGTAAAAGACTACAGAATCAGAAGTATCCAAATTTACACCTGAAAAACAAGACAAACTAGTTCAGAACGTGTTTGGTTGGAGACTCACTTTGATAATATCCATGAGAGGGAGCACATATTCTTAAAACAACAACAACAACAATAAAAACAAGGAACAAGTCAAAAAGGAAGAACAGAATACTCCTCTAACTTACCTCATCCAGTTATTTTAGGGACGAAGTGAGATGATATAAAACTGTGATAGTTTTTGGTTTTGTTTTATTTTTTGGTAGCACTGGGGTTTGAGAGATGATGTAAAACTATAAATTCATTATGTCAAATTTATTTGATAGCAAATAAATTTGATATAATTATATCAAATTGCTATCAAATTTATTCCCTTTTCCAATATTTCCTGGGTCCTGAAAGGAAAGTGAAATCAAGCAGGGGTTAAGGTTTGACACAGTGTGGGTTGTTATGCTTTCAAAACCCAGTATTATGGCTGGGAGTATAGCTCCTTGATAGAGCAATTGCCTAGTATGTATGAGGCCGTGGATCCCACCAGCACCACACACACACACACACACACACACACAGTACAATATTAATGTCATTTGTATTATTTTCTCAGTTTAGTATTCCTAAACATAAGGTAGAAATATCTGATTCATTAGCGTACTTTGGAACTGATATCATTACTATTGAGACTTGTTTAAAGCAGAAAATGCCCTTGTCTTTTTGAGTCTTCCTAGGACTGTCTCTCTTATCTGTGACTTGAGTTATGACCTTCAGTCAACTGATTATCTTGATTCTATGCTGACAGGAATTCCTGCAGGATAAGCATCTGTTCCATGGGGATGTGGCAGCCAGGAATATTCTAATCCAAAGTGATCTGACTGCTAAACTCTGTGGACTGGGTTTGGCTTATGAAGTCCATGCCCGAGGGGCCATCTCCCCTGCTCGGGCCATACCTCTCAAGTGGCTTGCCCCAGAGCGTCTTCTCCTGAGACCTGCTGGCATCAGAGGAGACATGTATGGTTTTTTTCCTGTTCTTTGGATTTCTTTCTACTTGAATATGATTGGTTCTGTTGTCAATTATATCTATAGATGAAATCTCTACTTGGAAGTCAGACATACACTCAAGCAGAAATACTATGTGACAGAGTTAATGTTTCTTGAAATCTTCTTTTAGTCCCTTTGCAAGTATTTTTTTATATTACCTTAGCAGGCTTCATCAAGAGAAAAAAACGAGAAAATTATTCACACCAGTATCTGAGGACTTAATCTAATAGTGTTGCTTTTAATTGAAGGGAATGGGTCCACTTAATCAAAAGACTAGTTAAACAAAGAATTAGTAAAATAAGAAATATTTTAAATCTCAGGTTTATTTTATACCTCAAATAATTTATTTTAACTTAAAACACTTACATGTATATTTGCCAATTGTTTGAAAAGGGCAAAGCTATGTTTTATGAGGATGAACTTCCTAAATAAAGGTACATGTTATGTCTCTAAATAGCATCTGTAAAGACTAATTTTTGAGTTTCACTTTAGGATGGTTCTCAGTACAGTGAGAAATTTTAAAACAACTGGGGAATCATTTGAGAGTAGAATTTTATTGTTTTTTTTTCCCCAATATCCTACAGTTGTCTCACACACATAATTTTAGTAGGATATTTTTATAAAGTATTTGCTAAGCATTCAACTTACTTTTTTAGGGATCTAACACTTCATGAATTTTTATTTAATCAGCATCTATAATATTTTATTACATTAATAACATACAATTCTAGTTATGTGTACAATTTGTGTCATGAATATGAGAAGTTTAAATATCAGTTAATATGGTAAGTCAGTAAAGAATTTCCATTGATGTTTCACCAATACTTTCTTTTTAATAGATATGTGAGTATAGAAGAGACATAAATCCAATCTTAATGAGATTAGAGTCTAAGGGGATTGGATAGAATGTGTGTGTGTGTGTGTGTGTGTGTGTGTGTGTGTGTGGTGCTGGGGATTGAATTCAGGGCCTTGCACCAGAAATGCTTTTTAATAACTGCACTGTTGCTTTGCTTATTTTATCAGGGTAGTTGTACTGATTTTTGTCCACTATCCTCCTTATTACCTTCTTACTGAAAGCTTTTGATGTTAATGTGAACTCTCTTGAGGAAAGGCAAAAACAGAAATTAAGTAGATGGCTTTGTTTCTTTTACAGCTGGTCCTTTGGGATCCTGCTGTATGAGATGGTGACTCTAGGTAAGGATGATCCTCAAAATAATGTGTATCTATATATAAATGTATAAGTATGCTTCTTTGGGGGGGATGATGTTTTCTTTAAAAAAGTGGTTTAGTATAGGACTGAAGATTGAACTGGGATGACATGGACTCCAAGCCTGATTCTTATAAAGGGATGGATCCTGCTTACCCCCAGCCAAGTCCCTCCTTCCTTGTCTTTCTCTTAACTTTCTTTAGCTCTCTTCTTATTTCTTTCCCCCCAAACTGTATCATTTCCAAGGGAGGGCTTCAAATCCAAAGGCTAATTTTCAGAGTGAGCTTGTATAAACATAGAAAAGGTGCCTGTATCTTCCCAAAGCATTGTTTTTCCACTTGCATGTCTTTTTAAATTTTATCTCAACTATGCATATGAGAGAAAGCATGATATTTGTCTTTCTGAGTCTGGCTTATTTCCTTTAACATGATAATCTCCAGTTCTATCCATTTTCTTGCAAAAGACATGATTCCATTCTTCTTAAATGGCTAAATACTACTCCATTGTATATATTTTACATTTTCTTTGATCATTCATCTGTTGATGGGCACCCAGCTGATTCTATAACTTGGCTACTGTGAATATTGATACAATAAATTTGGATGTGTATATAAACTTATTTTATTCTGAATTTAATTCCTTTGGGCAAATACTATAGCTGAGTCATACAGTAGTTCTATTTTTTCATCTTTTGAGTAACTTCCATACTGATTTCCATAGTGGCTATGTTAACTGACATTCCACCAATAGTATGGGGGATCCATTTTCTTTGCATTCTTGTTGTAATAATCCATTTAATTAAGAAATTGCAGTACCTTCCCATGTTGTGAAGATTGGAGGACAGGTCTTATTTCTTACTTTGGCTTATTTTATTGTTTTCCTAGGATTCTCCTGATTTCAGTCCCCCATCCAAATAAACACATTTCCCCCAATTCACTAAGCTATATCCTTACTTGATCAACAGGGAGCAACTATATTGTATGTAGTATTTTTCCTATGGCTCTATCTTTTGCAGGCAATTGGCACAAGTCAATGGGGAATAGTGTTATTTGCAATTCACGTATTAGAGGACTCTGAAGTTCTCTTGCTACTCTCACTCTTTTATATTAACAGGGGCACCACCTTATCCTGAAGTCCCTCCTACCAGCATCCTACAGTATCTTCAGAGAAGGAAAATTATGAAGAGACCCAGTAGCTGCACACATATCATGTAAGTGGCTTTTAAAAGCCTGCCTTCCTCTAATTCCAAATCTTTTTTGTTCCCTACCAGTCACACCCTTTTCAAAGTGTATCGGATGATTCTTGGTTGTCTTTATGTGTTAATTATAGCCTTAGACCCAACCCGTGAGGTACAACATCTGCTCGTACAGCATGTACGCATACCTATCATAAATACATGTATATATGCACATACATCCTTACACACACACAATGTTGAGGCAACCACTGAAAACTAATTTTAGGAATCTAATTTTGATAAAGTTGAGCTGTACTGGAATCTTCTAAAGTAGGAAGGAAACATGATGCAAGTGCAGCATTGTTTTTTTTTTGTCTAAATGCCAATTTTCTGCTAGCCTCAGTTCACAGAGCTTCATAAGATCCATTGTACCAGATTTATTCATTCAATCTACACTGGCCGATTACATAACTTTTAGAAACTACTGACTAAGTCTTTTCCCAGCTCTCAGCATGAGAGAAACCAACCAGAAGAGGGGAGGGTAGGAATAAATTAGAAAAGCAGAAGGAGGATGGATAATGCTAACAGAAAGTGAAAGGTTAACCAGTTTAGTGATAGGAAATTAAAAATTATACACAGAGTTCTACTTAAATTCAAAAAGACTTACAGAACACAGCAAAAGTTTAAATTACATAGAAGAATATAGCAGAAAATATGTTAATGAACATATGTTAGAACTATCGCTATTTGTAAATTTTCAGCACCGAAGAGGTAAATTTCTAGCACTTGTGTTTCCCTGCAATAAGTGATTATGGTATAAAGCAGATTATACAGTTTAAACATCTTGACCAATATTTCTTGCACCTATCTAGGTGTAAAAGGCTGAACTTTATACTCAGGCAAACTCTTCACTGACAAAGTACCCAACCTTAATGAACTTAACATTTTGATGAGGAGATCTCTGAAACAACATGAAAAGCAACATAAAGCATGTGCAGCAGTGCATGATATAAGCTCCCTCTTATGTCATACAATTGAAAAGATAAAAGTTTTCGTCCCATTGGACACTGATGTTCAATAAACAGTGTACAGAGAAAAAAATGTCCTGTCATACTCTTGGTAGTTTGAAAAACTTCCAGTCACTCTTATTATAAAATGAGTTCCATTGAGAAGATGATATTAAGAGACTTTATGTAAAGAGGATGTATCAGTCTCTGGGAATAATATGAGAACCAAGGAGAAGATAAGATTACAGAATTACAGGGGTTTTTATTTTATTTATCTATCTATTTATTTATTGCTGTTGTTAAGATTTGTTGGGAAAGGAGACATGTTCCTTATACATTTGCTTGTTTCTCTTACCCTCTGCTCAGGTATAATATTATGAAGTCCTGTTGGCGCTGGAACGAGGATGGCCGCCCTTTACCCCGAGAACTGCGCTTGCGCCTCGAGGCCTCTTTGAAGTCTGCGGATGACAAGGCTGTGTTGCAAGTACCAGAGTTAGTGGTGCCTGAACTATATGCAGCTGTCGCTGGCATCAATGTAGAGAGCCTTTCCTTTAGCTACAGCATCCTTTGAAGACTCCCCAGCCAAGAACCATTTATGGGTGATTATGTTCTTGGAACCAATTCATCCAAGAGCAGAGAAGGGACTTTCTAGAGGGACACTAAGGGGGAAGAAAGGACATGGATCCTAGATCTTCCCTACACATTTCTCTAGAAATCTGAAATGACACTGGATGAGACTCTATCTACCATACACCCTGAGTGGAGAAGTACTGTCACTCTCATTTTCTTGTCCAAATCCTGAAGGTCCTGGGTAACAGTGGTGGAAAGTGTCATTGCAAAAATCTGCAATGTTTCTTGGGGCATGACGAAAACAGGTTGGTCCCTCTCATCCCAGGCTAGTTTACTTCTGAAAAATGTTTTTACCTAGACTATTACAAGGTTCAAAGAAGCTGGAATGACATGAAGGAATAGAAACTCAATAAAGCAGGTGATGAAGAAAATTCAGGGGTCTTTGGCTGAGGACTGTAGGTGTGGACCAAGGTCTCCTTCAAGGAGAGATCTTGTCCCATTAATGTTGAGGGGACATACAGTTATTCAGTCCTGGTCCTTTCATGAGACTTGGAGAACTATGAAGGAAAACCTTTCAGTTTCTCTTTGGGTATACATAACAGATAATCTCCCTTTTATCTAGTTCTGAGACAGATGACCCTGTTTGGCACTACTTTTAATTAGAAGCTGGAGGAATCATTTCATGATTAAGAACATTCAACACGTATTGTTCACCAAGTTTGCTTCCTAGATTCTGTAAGATTAAAGACTAAGCCTAGACAAAGTGAGATGAGTGATTAGAACAATGTATGTGTGCTTATGTGCATATGTGTATGTGTATGTGAAATATATAGAAAATATGGAAACCAAGAAAGAGTGTTTAGTACTTCAGATGGTGATTAACAAGGGCTGGACAAGAACTGGAATCTGACACAGAAGGACGGTAGCTTCTAATTTCCATTCATCCATTGAGGTACTGTGAAAAGTTTCATAATATTTACTGAGTGAAAGTAGGCTTTTTTTTGGGTATACAACTGCCAAAATCTCAATAATCTGGAGGATGAAAAAATGGAAATTATAATAGGATAATTCAAGAATTTTCATTGTCAGAAAAGGATTTTACTGGTGGTACTGGGATTTGAACTCAGGGCTTTGCACCTTCTAGGCAGGTTTCCTACTACTTGAGCCAGCCCTAGGAAAGAGATTCTTTATGTGTAAAATGTAACTTACAATGTTGGTGTGAGGACTAAGAATGTGTTTCTGTATTTAACATGTGCTAATAATTGTTAGTTTCTTTTCTTTTGCTTTTCCTAACCCAGGAAGTTTTCGTAATTTTTTAAAAAGAAACTATTTTTATTTTTCTTCCTTTTTTTCTTTTATGTCTTTTTTAATTCAATGTACACTGTGACCAAGAAGACAGCCTTGGTTTGACACTGCAATGAAGGACACACTTAAAGATGATGGTATGCTACGATTGCCACATGACTAAAACTATGAAGTCATGTTTGTATAGTTTTGGGGTGATAACAGTAGTCCCCTACTGTTTCAAAATAAATGAAAACATCACTAGGGCAGTTCTGTTGAACATGCTGGTCTGTGATTTTTAAAGAACATCCTGGATGCTTTGGAAAGGACACATAAGGCTGCTGGAGGAAAGATGACAGAGTGGTTGAAAATGCTGAGCTGGAATCCTGACAAAGTCATGATGAATCAGCTAAATGAAGAATAATTATTGACCCTGTGGGGATTCCCTGTGGTAATACCACAATGAGTAGTCAGGATTGAAATGGGCAGCAAGTGGCAGTAGGGAGAAAGAGGTAGAATGGCTTCAGACAAAACTGATAATATCCCATGGAATCCCACTGTTGCCTCTCAGGTGTTCATTTCAATCAAATTTACAAAGTACTTATTTATTTTGATATTATAAAAATAAGTGTTAAAAACAGCTGTACCAGATACTGGGTTAAGCATTGGATAAAAGAATAGGGAGCTTTTTATTACTGTCTTCAAAGTGATAAACATTATATATTCATTTGTGTATTTGCTAGTTACAAATTATGTTAAGTGCTGTCAATAAATTCCTAGAGGATATTAGGAGGGAGAATAAAAAGAAGATCCCATTTAAGAAATGGCATTTAAACTAAGACATTAGGGATGGCTAGGGAGGCAATTCAAGAGTGAAAGCAACCATCCACAGTATGAAACTCTGAGGCAAGGAAAAGCAGGGAGCATCTGAGGAATGTAAGAATGCATGCAGGGTTGCAGCATGGTGTATTACAGGGAAAGTAGCAGATAATGACGTATCTCCAGTTCATTTTGCTTTGGTTATTTTGGAGTTAGGGGGGGTCTCCTGAACTATTTGCCTGTGCTGGCCTCAAACTGCCATCCTCCCAATCTCAGCCACCCAAGTAACTAGGGTTATAGGTGTGAGCCCCCAGGTCCTGACTTATTTTTGACTTATTAGTTAAATCCATTTAACTGACAATTTTTGTTCTGTGAATACAAAAACATCTAATCAATTACTGATAAAAATTGTAAAAATGAGATTGTTATCCCTAGCATTTATAATAGTCTATGTTTCTGAAAATTGGAAGTTGGACTGACTTGATCATTTTAAGTAAGATGGCAAAAAGGCCAAAATTGGTAGGTGGACAGAAGAGACATAAACAAAATCAAAGTAAGAGAGAATTTTATATGTAAGAAAAACCAGCAGTAGTTTAAAAGGTTAAATTATCAATCATAAAAAACAATTGCCGGGTGCCAGTGGATCACACCTATAATCCTAGCTACTCAGGAAGCAGAGATCAGGAGAATCATGGTTCGAGGTTAGCCTGGGTAAAATGAAAGCAAGATCCTCTCTCAAAAATAGCCAACACAAAAAAAGGGGCTGGTGGAGTGGCTCAAGTGGTACAGCACCTGTCCAGCAAGCATGAGGCCCTGAGTTCACACACTTACACATACACACACAAAGATTCATCTCTGACTATAGTTTCCTAACTTGATACATCATCTTGATGCTGAAAGTGAGAAATGATTATTTTGTCAATGAATATTGCATACTTGAATAAGTCATTCTGCCTCAATTTTAGCTAGAGATGTGAATAAAATGTCTACTTCTTTTTTGTGATGGGTTTTTTGAGAGAGGGTCTCACAAACTATTTATCTGGGGCTGGCTTTGAACAATGATCCTCCTGATCTTGGCCTCCTGAGCAGCGAGGATTACAGATGTGAGCCACTGGTGCTTAGCTCCCAACTACTTTACAAGGTGCTACGAAGCTGACTGTTGTGTTATCAAAGGCAGTAACAGTACTTTGGTTTCACATAAAGACCTCAAACATTTATTTTCAAAAGTAAACTGTGGTGATATAAAAACCTAAGCCCCTATATTTTGAAAATGTTCACAAAATATTTTCACTATTTATAGCCCAACTAAAAGTGCATGAACAGTTTCTTATGTAACTATCCTAACCAACAGGTATCTATTAGACACATATGGCTTTTTAAACGTTTAATGTAAATTAATCAAAATTAAGATTTCAACTCCTTAGTCACACTAATCACATTTTAAGTGCTTAGTGGCCATACAGAACATGTCTTCACTTCTCTGTTGTGTAGCATCTGAGACCACTTTTTACTGTTTGTACGTACTACTTTGTACTATTTGTCACTCTCTAAAAGGTAATTCTCTTGATACATTTTTGGCTTGAAGTATGAAGAGTCAAGTAAATATAGTTTCATATTTCATTTTAAACAGGAAGGGTTACAGAGGACTAGTCTTTTGACAGTATCAAAAGAGTAGCTGATCCACTCACAAAATCTTAATTATATGCATTTTATGTTGTGTTTACATAGTCTCAAATTTTGATTTCTGTAGATCTGTTTAAGTAGACATGAAGATGAACATGGGCGCACATGTCAAAAACCTGAAGCATATACATTAAGAGAATTTAGATATTAAATGATCCTTGATGTAGAGTTCAATCAAATGGATTGTGATTGATATTTTCAAGATCCTATGGAATATTGTGCTCAATTTCCTGTGACTGACTTGTGATAAAAATGGTCCAACTCATTCCAGGCTTCCTGGGGCCTTCCGGGTTTTAAAACTGAAAATTGCTCACACCAGGGAACTCCATAGTCCTGGGCAAACTGGAATGTATTCTAGTGGTAAGGGATGGTACTTTATATTTCTTCTGTGTTTTCCAAAATAGCAGCCTATAACAAGGGTTGAATCATTTTTTTATTTTAAGTCACAATGGGCCCAAGATAACTTGTCCCAACCCACTTTCTAGTTATTCTATTTCCATGAACCTTACTTTCTAGCTATGCTTAGTTTCTTGGCTTTCCTCCATCAAGCACTTTCACATCACTGTGCCTTTGTTCAGGCCATTCTCTACCTAGAATGCTTTTCCATCTCACTGGATGAACACAGAATTTACTTATCAAGGTCCAACTCGATTAACACCTCATTTCATAAGCCTTCTTTGATACTTCCCTTTTTACAAACTCCAAACTCCATCTGCAATAAACTGACTTGCTTCCTCTTTTGTACTCTACAGGAATGTTTCATACATATTCCTTATTACAGCAATTGCTTCCTGTGCTGATGTTTGCTTTCCATGTTTGCTTACTTTTCTAGGCTACAAAGCACAAATGGCTGTTGTTGTATTACTAGTGTCCTGCTGTTTCTGGCACGTAGGAAATGCTTGTTAAAAACTCATACAAATCTCAAAGCTACATAATCTTATTCAATCTCAACAATTCTGAAAGATTGGCAAAGTTGATTGCTGTATACTTATTTGGCTGATGATCAAACAGGCTTAGAGATCACGGTTAGGTCGTGATAGTGTTGGGACTGAATTCCATGTCTTCCCATCAACACTTTGCACTAAATCCCACTGAAGACTGTCAGGCACTTGGTAGGTTACTCTGTGTGTTGGTAACAGAAGGTTGATGAATAATATATGAAAAGCAGTCTTTGTGTAAAAGTTCACCTGACTTTTTCTGTTCTTCAAAACCATCCCATACTGGAGCACTCTTTGACTTCCCCAATTTAATGCTACCTGGGGAGAAAATCTGATCTTAAATTGCCAAAAATCCACAAGTCACTAAACGTCAACCCTTACCTTAGAAGTTCTATTAAAAACTCTTTTATGCCATGACTCTCAGGGGTTTCACATGTCAAGCCTCTCGTCTGATGGATTCTGTCAACCTTGTATTTATTACTACAAGCTTTCAGCTGCGGGACAAAATCAATCATAACCCAAAGTCGCTGTTAGGCATCAATCAGATGGGAAAACGAGTTATATTCTGGGTATGCCAATCTGTTTCTGGAATTGACTCACGCATCCATTATAGAAAACAAAGCCACACCCACTTTACAGGACTGAGCAAGATCTGAAAAACCCAAAGAAAAAACGACACCTGCAAACTTTATTTCTAAACCCTTAAAAAAGCTACACCGACACCACCGGAGGCGATGAGAATTGAGAGTGGAAAAGTAAAGGCGATTTACAGACCTTTGTTCTAAGCCTATCAGTACAAATGCTATTTGTATTTTCCCACATTCCTGCTCTTTGATAATGTAATGTAATCTACTTAATTTCAAAAATAATGTGCTTCCGAGCTTAATAAAGAGAAGGTCTCCCGACAGCGTTTCAGACCTCCTCACCCGAGACGTGACTAGTGAGGGAGGAGTGGGCTGGAGGGGGCGGGGAATTCCGGAGGCGGAAGGGACGCGCCTGCACTGACGTACTTATCCTGCGCCAGTGACGTCACTGCCAGGCTCCTGGAGGCACTTTGGCCTCGTTTTCGGCGGGCTTCCCGGGAACAAACAATGGCTATGGCAAGTGATTTCTACCTGCGCTACTACGTAGGGCACAAGGGCAAGTTTGGACACGAGTTTCTAGAGTTCGAGTTTCGGCCGGACGGTGAGCAGCGGAGCGGTTAGCAGCACCTCATCTTAGCGCGGTGCTGGGAGAGGGGACTGAGAAGAGGCGGCGGGGTGGGGGGCGAGCCTGGGGAGCTCAAATGGCTTACGGTGGAGACAGACAACCCTGCTTCCATGCAAGTAAAGGAGAGCCTGAGAATATGAGGCCTGAGTTGTGTTTCTGTGAAAGACAGAGAACTGATCGCTGTAAATCAATCCAGAAAAGCGAATCTTGTCACAAAGTGCAAAGTTGAACCTCCAGTAATGGGAATCCTAGAATTCAGCACCGGAGGGACTTTAAAAGCCACGTGGGTCATCGATGTAATGCTTGTACATTGTTAAGGACATCCCTATCAAGCGGTGGTTTGGTAGATACATAAAATCTTGGGGTGACGTTTTGGCCATTTCATTCCTTCGTTCATTCATTCATGATATACCTGTTAAAGTTGTTTTGCGGGGGGAAAAGCCTGATGTCTAAACAAATGATGAAAATGTATTTCAGATGCCGAAATATAATTGTTCACCATAGGATGTATTAAGAGTACAAAAAAAAAAGGGGGAAGGGAGTTGGGGAAAAGCTTTCTAGAAGAGGATACGCGAGGTGAGCCTTGAAATGAGAGAGATTTTCTTGGCCTCTGAGGGAAAGAAGAAACAGACTGAGCGCTCACGAGCAGAGGGCTGATTGAAGTCACAGCCTGTATAGTGCACGATTCTGTCTTGACAGCTGTGACTTTCTAGAGAATGTTATCTTATTTTGAACTCTCTGTAAGAAGGACAGTCCAGTTACATAGATTTTTACTTTTTGAATATATTGGGAAACTTGTAAATAGAAGACATGAAGGTATAGTAATGAGTAGGATTAAAGCGGTGACTCTTGGTGGGAGACCTAGACATGTAACTAACCATAAGGCAATATGGACATTAAATGTTATGCATATAGAGCCCTTTTTAAAAGACTATTAAAATATGAAAGAATTAGAGGAGGATCATGTGTTAGGAAGGAGTGTTATGCATTTTAGGCAGAACTCAAGGTAACTCCAGTCCTCAATTATTTAGAAACATCAAATCACCTCTTGATTTCCCCAAGTCTCTCTAAATTTTGCCCAGCAGTGAAACTCTAAATTCATTTTTTTCCCTTTTGTAATATTTTCTTTCTCCTGTCCGTGAGCACCATCTAGCTTGTCCGTATTACTTTTAGTGAGTCACATAAATTAAATAGCATAATATCAGAGAAATTTCATGCTAGAACAGTGGTTCTCATCCACTTACCTGCCACTACACCATTCCACTCACATTGGTAATAATGAGTCACAAAAATCTATAGTTTCTAAGGGGTAACTTATCTTGTAGAATCAGGAGCACATCATAGCTGTATCTGGGCAGCAACTGGCCATGTGGGAACAGTGCACTAGATAGTACAAAAGTCTTGATGGACTGAAATTAGATATAAAACAACTAACAAACTGGTCAGTTTTATCAAGAAGCAGCATACAGTTTGTATGCTTCCTAGTCACAATTCTAAAAAATTAGCATTACCATCAGGAGCAAATTACCTTGAAGGAAAATAATTAAAAGAATATTTTGGTGTAGTGGAGGAAGCATGAGTATTGGAAGGAAGTCCATCTAGATCTGAGCCTTGTATGATCCTGGGCAAGATACTTTGTTTTCTCACCTGTGAATAGATGAGAGAATAAAACCTGCTTTTTGTAACTTTTATAGATTAGATTAAATGTTTGCAATAAAGCACTTAGCACCAACATAGCAACAATCAAGCTGGAAGAAAATGTTAACTCCTTTGTTGGATTCTCTTTTTAGTTCATGACATAGCTTAAGAAAATAGGCCTTAAAAATGACCCATTATATATTGAAGGCATAGAATATTTTAAAATTGGGCTAGCTCAATGTTGGCCAACTTATTGGCTAATATTTATTGAGTGTCTACATGTCTAGTATTGATGTTACACTAGGAGGGAGGAAATATTAAAAATGGTAATATAAAATGGCTGATACCTTCACAATTGCTTGTTATAGTCTTCCTTTTTCTTTTCCTTTTAATAGCACTGTTAAGTGTTATTTATTGAATTTTTTTTCTCCTTTCCACAGGAAAGCTTAGATATGCCAACAACAGCAATTACAAAAATGATGTCATGATCAGAAAAGAGGTAAGTGCTTTTCTAATGTCTAGATTTTTACATTTAGTTCATTTTCCTCATGTCTGCTAAATTTACAGAAATTCACCTAAGGCTGTTTTAAAGAAGAAGCCATTTATAGATCTAAAATTGTCCATTTCAATTAGATTTGATTATAGCATCATTAAAAACAAAAGAAGCATATAGTAAATTATAGCCTAGTGTTTGCATATATCATTTTATAATTTATTGTTTTTAATCTATTCACTACTTAAAACTAATAATTATGATATAAGCATAGTATAATTTTTAAGTGACCCAAAAATTAGTGATAAGACAGAGGTCAGAGAACTACCTGGTGTGAACTTGTGTTTGTCTCTGTTTACTTCACAGACCTGTAATGTCATCATTAACTACTCAGGTGTACTTGAGTCTGCATGTTACAAAGGCAGAATATAGGGTTTTAAAGGGGCTGTTCCAGAACTAGATTCTCCAGGGAGGAGGTCTCTAAAAGAATTTTAGGACACATGGAGGTGGAGACCAAGAAGGTTTATTTGTAAAGCACAGCAAATTAAGGATAGTACAAACATGAGTGTGGGCACATCTGATAACAGCTGCAGTGAGTGTTCTAACATCATGATGTTTATGGTAAAAAAGTGGACTGGGGGATTTGGTTAAATTTACCTTAGAAATAGCTCTTCCCTTTGTTCTGAACACCTCGTATATGGAGTTATTCTTGCTGTTACAGTTTATTGATTGGGCCCAGAGGTATCAAGGTTGGTCCATTTATTAAATATGGGTCATTATGATATAGATGTTTGAGCATCTCTTTAAACAAAGGATGGGTTTTACCAGGTGCTCCTTTCAAGATCCATCCTTGTGATAAATATTTTTCTTTACAAACACTTTTCTGATCAAAGGAATCATTTTCTCGAATGCTTTGTTCCTAGGATAAGTGTCTTTCTTTAAGATATTGTTGCCCAGTTCCCAGAGTGTGATAGTCATTTTGGCCTGCAGGCAAGGCAGAGGTAAAGACCTGCTCTTTTTCCTTACATGTTACAGCCTAGTGACAAAGTATGAAGCTTAAGGCAAGGAAAGAAGTGCTCCTGTGCTTTTTTCATCAGGTTATTCATGTTATGTTTATCTTTGACTTCCTGGCTCCTGTTTCTCATTTTTCTTTTTTTTTTTTCTTGTGGTACTGGTACTTGAACTCAGGGTCTACACCTTGAACCATTCCACCTGCCCCTTTTTGTGGTTGGTTTTTTCAAGACAGGGTCTCAAAACTATTTGCCCAGGCTGGCTTTGAACTGTGATCCTCTGATCTCTGCCTCCTGAGTGGCTAGGATTACAGGCGAGAGCCACCAGCACGCGGCCTGCTTCTCATTTTTCTTGATTTGTCTTGCGTCAGGACCAGTGATGGAAAGAGGGAAAAATATGTGATTATGGAAAGGGCAAGAAATTAGAGAAAAATAATACTCATAATAAAAAAAGATGAATGAGCCTCATCTGTGCTTATGGAATCAGAATTAAGATTTTTTGGTAATACTCTTATTTGAGTATTTGAATATTCAGGATTTGTAACGGATTTATTATTTCCTGTAGAGTTGAGGAAAGACATGGGTGGACATTATGAAATTTTACTATAATTAATGAAATTTTATTATAATTAATCTTCAGGCGTATGTTCACAAGAGTGTAATGGAAGAACTGAAGAGAATCATTGATGACAGTGAAATCACAAAAGAAGATGATGCTTTGTGGCCACCCCCTGACAGGGTTGGTCGGCAGGTTAGTATTTAGGGATTCTTCAAATATATAATTGTTAAAAATTGATAATATAATTATATTTTTCCCTGATTTATTTAGAATAATGCCTTATTGAGTCTTGATTCTTTAGTTACTTCATTTCCTTTTTTATGTTTTTTTTTTTAAAGTGGTACTAGAAATTTAACTCAGGCCTCACAAATGCTAGACAAGCAAGCACTCTACCATTGAGCTACTTATCCATGTACTTAGCTCATTTTCTGTGCTTCCTCCTAGTAAAGGAGTCTGCATAGCTCTAAATTTAGATATTTTTCTAAACAACCTTCTCTGTAGCCACCCCAGCTAGTTAGGATGTTTTCCCATTGTTTTGAATAATTTACTAGGAATAAGTACAGTGTTGTTTGTTAAATTTGAGAACTGGGATTCTCTTCGAATATGTAAAATTCATTTTTCTCCAGATTATAACTTTTGGAATTCTTATTTGCAACCCTATGCCCCAGAGATATTTGATTGATTTCCTTGTTCAAACTGACTATGGCCATTGCTGCCCATATACCTTCTGAATAACTGATGTTTTTCAAAGAGCATCTGAAGAACTCTGAAAGCCTAGTTTTACTCTGTAGATAGACAGTTTGGTTTTTGAATTGTGTCTTTGTAACTTCTGGAGAAATGAACTATGACCTGAAGGAAGAAACATTTAAATTCACTTTGAGTATTTCTAAGGATTATGATTTATATCACCTTGACTACAAGAAAAACAACAGATGGTGACACTTGGTAGCAGCAACTTAACTCTTCTATTTAAAGAAACATTGTTTAAGAAAGCAAAGGTAATATAAAACAGTATTTTATGCAGTGTATCACTTTTAAAATGTAAGTTTAGGCCTCTGTTTGTTTTATGCATTTATACCTATGTATTAAAAAACAATCAACAGTAGCTAACATTTTGTATCTTAGACTCAGGGAACGTCCAGTGTTTTTATGGACCCACTTGATGTGGGTCCATAAGCGAGGAGGAGCAGTCATGCTCCAGAACTGCCTGTTGGATCAGTAAGTCAAAAATGTTATGGTTGTTAGCAAATCTTTCTTACTTAATTCTCCATTTGATATATCCCATAAGCTGCATAAATAAGTTTTTTGATTAAATGTGGGATGTGGGAAAAAAGGAACTCTCATACACGGCTGGTGGGAATGAAAGGTGGTGCAGCCACTCTGGAAAAAAATTTGGAGGCTTCTTAAAAATCTAAACATAGATCTGCCAGGTGATCCAGCAATCCCACTCCTGGGGATGTACCCAAAGGAATGCAGAGTTCCAGAGGCACCTGCACACCCATGTTTATTGCAGTGCTATTTACAATAGCCAGGTTATGGAAACAACCAAGATGCCCCACTACTGATGAATGGATCAAGATAATATGGTCTTTATATACAATGGAATTTTACTTAGCCATGAAGAAGAATGAAATCTTATCATTTGCAGGTGGATGGATGGAATTGGAGAACATCATTCTGAGTGAGGTTAGCCAGGCTCAGAAGAACAGAAGTTGTATGTTCTCTCTCATAGACAGACTTTAGATCTAGGGTAAATGCAGCAATGTGGTTGGACTTGGATCACATGACAAAGGGAGAGCACATATGGGAAATATAGGAATATGTAGAAAACCCAAAACCTGAAAGTGTTTGATGTTTCCACTCCAGAGGAACTAATATAGAAACTTTAAAGCAACAGAGGTTAACTTGAGAAGGGGATCTGGAACCAGTGTAAAGATCAGTTAGAGATGAATCAACTTTGGTTGTAACACATTTGTACATGAAAGCAGTGCTAGGAATCTTTCTGTATAGCTATCCTTAACTAGCAAAAAACATTTTGTCTTCCTTATTATGCTTATGTCTTCTCTTCAACAAAATTAGAGATAAGGGCAGAACAGGTTCTGCCTGGAAGGGGAGAGAGGGGAGAGGAGCAGGGGGGAGAAATGGCCCAAACAATGTAAGCACATGTGAATAAATTAATAATAAAAAATTTAGAAATGTATGTACCTAAGACTGTCTGCATCTGTTTGTTAATTTAACTTTAAAATTTATTATAGATCGAACCCCTTATTAGTTTTAGATTTGCAGATAAACAATAGAGAGAAAAATTTATACAATAACCTGACCTCTAGGAACAACTATATTATGTTGGATTTGTTTTATAATGCTTAATTATAATTGATGAATTCAGGAGTATTAGTCTTTAAATCTTAAACTCCTGGAATCAAATATCCCTAGTATCACTTACTAGTGGTTATAAATATCAATATGTGTTTCCCTATATTTTCTGAATTTTGGGTTTTGCATTTGTAAAATAAGGCTAATAAAACCTACCTTGTAAGATTATTTTAAGGATTACAGAGAAGGTAAAGTCCCAGTGGCAAGGCCTGATACATAGTGGGTGCTAAAGTGCTGGGTATTGTTAATGTCATGCATTTTATTTGTAGACTCTTATGGAAAGAGAAATGTGTCTATGATATTAAAATAGGTTTCATATTTCTATAAAAATGTTTATAACATGTGCTTTAAAGTGATATCCCTAGTACTTACTGACACTGTAAGGAACATTTTATAGTATGTGTTTTATGATGGCTCTAGAAAGCAGTCTTGGACCTAAAATTGAAGGCAAGGCTTGATTCTCTTAATAATGAAACGAGTTCTTTATTTTAAGAACACACTTTATGTCCAACAGAAAAGGTTTGTTTTTCTTTTCTATATTGAATGCTATAAAATTTGCTGCTAAAATTGGAACCCCTGTATAGTATGAATACAGGTACCTCTAGATTAGATTTTTATATTAACTATTTCTGCCGGGTTTTTTTTTTTTTCAGGAGCTTGAAATTGTAATTGGAGATGAACACATTTCTTTTACCACATCCAAAATTGGTTCTCTCATTGATGTAAATCAGTCAAAGTGAGTATGTTAAAGCATGTTGGCTAAATTGACATAATTTATTACAGTTATTTTATTATGTTTTATTTTATTATCATTCTTGTACTGGGGTTACATTGTGATATTTACAAAAGTTCTTACAATATATCATAGTTGAATTCACCTTCTCCATCATTATCTTTTATCTGCTCTCCCTCCATTCCTGGAATAGTCTCATTGTTTTCAGTTTTCATATGTGAGTACACAATATTTCCACCACATTCACGTTCCTACACTCTTTTCTTATATCCTCCCCTCCCACTGGAACCAGCCCCCAGACAGGACCTATTTTACCTTCCTGTTCTCTGTTTTTGAAAAAAAGACATTTTTGTTTGTTTAAGATGCTATATAGGGTATTTCATTGTGACATTTCCATGTATATATGTATTATAACCTGAATTGGTTATCCTCTCTATTTTTCTCCTTTTTACCTTAGTCCCCTTCTTATGGTGATTTTAACAGGTTTAAAAATTCTGTATTCTTGTATAGAAAGTACATCACCCATATTTACCTTAACTTCCTTCTTTTACCCTATGTCTCCCCTTAGTGACCTCCCTATAGCATGACCTGTTTTGTATAATATTGCTTGTATTTGTATTGGGCCTGTATTACACATGTGAGAGAAAAGAAATGGCTTTTGGCTTTCTGAACCTGGCTAACTTTACTTAAGATGATCTTCTCCAGCTCTATCCACTTATGTGCAAATGACAAAATTTCATTTTTCTTTATGGCTGAATAAAACTCCATTGTATATAAGTCCACATTTTCTTAATCCATTCATTAGTTGTAGGACATCTTGGCTGTTTCCATAGATTTGCTATTGTGAATAATTCTGCAATGAACATGGGTGTATTACAGTTATTTCATAACTGTAGTCAGTTTGTGAGCCAAGATTATTTCAGTTTATTATGCAGATGTAATTCTGATTTTTATGTCATTAAAGAGTTACCTTAGCCAGGCACCAGTAGCTCATGCCTGTAATCCTAGCTCCTTAGGAAGCAGAGAGCAAGAGGATTGAGGTTTGAAGCCAGCTTGTGCAAATAGTCTAAGAGACCTTATCTCGAAAATACAACACACATACAGACACACAGAAAAGGGCTGGGGAAAAAAAAAAAAAAAGACCTTGTCTATCAAAGAATTTACCAGGGTATTTCATTGTAAAAAGAAAAAAATTTCGATTCAACATTATGTATTTTAACACCCAAAACTCTGGATTGTCCCTCTTTTCCTTGAGTACATGAAAAATACAAAAAAATTCTGAAGTTCTATATCTGCCCTGAACTTTTGCCTGTGGCCGATCGAAGTCATATCTTCATGCCCTTTCCCTCAAATTGTCTCCACAGTGCTCTCACTTTTCCCTTTCACCCAAAATCATTGCTTGTCTGCTTTACTGGCCTGAATGTGAGCTCCGTGAGAACCTTGCTGTATACTCAGTTACAATAATGCCCTGCACATACTAGGTGCTTTATATAAATATTTTTTAGAAGAAAGGAGAAAGGAGTGACTGCATAGTAATTCTTGGACACAAAAGGCTGTGTTAACAAAAAACAACGAGATGCTTTTAAACTATTAAATTTACTTTCCTAAGTTAATTGGTGAGGATGTGGAATTCATACCCTACAGGAACTGTACATTGATACACTGTTTTTTGGAAAGCAATTTAGTAATACTCATCAGAAACTATATACATTTTCTGTGCATCTTTGGCTTAGTAATTTCATTTCTTAGCATCTCTTCTATGGAAATATTCGAGATTATTAGAAAAGATTGTGTAGGATGATACTCATTGAAGCATTGTTTATAATTGGAAATAATCCCAGTGTCTAATAGGGATAGAATATTTAAATTAAAAAAAATTATGAATTTTTTTAGAAAGGTGGAAAAAGGTAGTATTTAAAAAGGTACATAGGGAGGTGTAGCTTAAGTGGTACAGCGCCTCCTTTGTGAATGATTTTAGTTGTGGAAAAAAATAGGAACTCCAAATTCCAAACACATATTATTATGTGAGGATGTTAGCATTATTGTGTTATGAATAGTATTTTTCTGCATTATACATTTTTGTGGTGCATAGCTACTATTTTTCATAAGTAGATAAACATATTAAATTATTGAAAGTGAATACTAATGGAAAAACAGATAAAATTATTATTTCACTTTTAATTATTCATTTACTTTATTCAAGTTTTCAGCAAAATTCTTCCTTTCTCCTAAATTATGTTAATAGATTTTAACAAAATTTTGTTTTGTTTTAAGAATTTATAAAGTTATAGTTCATTAGGAACAAAAAAAGTAACTTTTACCTTTTTAAATTTTAGGGATCCTGAAGGCCTTCGAGTATTTTACTATTTGGTACAGGATTTGAAATGTTTAGTTTTCAGTCTCATTGGATTACACTTCAAGATTAAACCAATTTAAATTGTATGTTTTTGAAGTTGTTAATTTATTTAATTAAGGGATGGGTAAGGGAGGGTTTCTTTGTCTTTTATAATTTGTGGATTTTTACATATGTGAAACAGTTTTTTTGTATGTAAACTGAGTATATGAAAATAAGTAAATATGCTTAATGATTTTCCTCACTTGGGTCCAAGTGGGTTAGACAGAACCCATACACATTAAATTCTGTAAATAAAAGTCACTTTTGTTGAATTTTGCTCTAATAAAACATATCAAAGCCTGAATGGAGAGTGGTTTTTGGTTTATTTGTTTCAGGAGACTATGCCTCTGATGACTTTAAAGACAATAATATATAGATCTAGGAGTTACATCTTATGACAGAAATTCTTGCAATTGGAATATGTAGCCAGTTTTCATTTATTCAGGTCAATTGCAGAGTGGGTTGTGGTGGCACACACTAAATTGCAGCTACTCAGGAGGCAGTGGCAGGATTGTAAATTTGAGTCAGCCCAGGCAAAATTAGCAAGATCATGTCTCAGAAACAAAATTATAATGATAATAATAATAAAAGGGCTGGGGGCAGAGCTCAATTGCTTGCTTAGCACACACAAGGCTCTGGATTCAATCCCTAGTACCACAATTACATCCTGGTAGGATGTAATTTTTTGGTGCTTACAGAAGGTTTTGGATTTCTTTTACATATATCACAATCCCTTTAGGGATATTTCAAACTTAAATAGTTTTAGTATAAACAATTACTTTTTGAAGTGTTAAAAAAAATATAGTGAGTACCCTGAGTGAGGCACATATTTGATTATACCCTTATTCCTTATTTATGTATTTGTGTGTAAGGGAAGAATGATTTCACACCTCCACAAATTATGTAAACTTTAATCTTAAACAGCTGAGTGTATGTGTATGTATTTTTTAGCTCATTCCAAATACAGGTCCCACTCATGTGTACCAGTTCCCTTCTGGTAGACCTCATCTTTCATTATTCCTGGTATTGACCATGCTGTTGGTGATCTGTTACTTTCCCCTCTAAACCCTGACTCTAAAAGTTGACCTGTCTGATAGTTATAATCTATCTGCCCCAGGGAGTTTCTGAAGGCTTACCTGTATTCCTGAGCATTTAGGAGCAGAGTGGCTCTTTCCAATAAACTTTTTTGCAATAATAGACATGTTACATTTGTTGTATTTGTATAGGGTAGCCACTGGGCCATGTATGACTTCTAATTACTTCAGAGGTATAATTAGTGTAACTGAACTTATAGTGCAATTTAATTATATTCTTTCTTGCATTTTATTATGAAAAATTTCAAACATACAAAACTTGAAAGAATTGTGAATACCCATATGCCAATCTAGGTTGTAATAAGTCTTATAACAAATCATCTGTTGATTTTTCACTTAATTGTAGTGCTACTTAGTTTTGACCAAATTTAGGTAGCCACCTGTGGTAGTGGCTCCCTACCCCTTTGGATACTGTAGCTCTAGAGCATAGTGTGGTAGTATTCTGTTTGCCAGGAAGCACCAGATGGTTCTTTTTTCCTCTCAAAAATGTATGGCCATTTTCTTTAGGTTTGCTGGGTAAAGTTGATTGTTTTCCCTATTTTTCTGCAAGATAGTACTCATCACTGTTACAGATTAAATATGAGATGTCCTCCACAGACTCATGTATTCAATTCTCAGTTCCCAGATAGTGGTGCTATTTTGGGAGGTTGTAGAAATTTTGTGAGGTGGGGTGTGCCTTTGAAAGTTATACCTGGTCCCCATTTACTTTTCTGCTTCCTGTCACCATGTGGTGAAGAAACTCCTCCACCATAGGCTCCCACTGCCATGATTCTGCTAAAATGCACAAGACCAAACAACCATGTATTGAACCCTTTGAAATGGTGAGCTAAAACTAAGTCTTTCATCCCTTAAGTTGTTTCTGTCTGGTATTTAGTTATAGCTATGTAAAAGTTACTAACACAGAAAATTGGTACCTAGAGTGGGATCCATTGCTATGCACCAATGTGAACTGGTTTGCAGGAAGAATTTGGAAAAGTTTGGAGAAGAAGGGTAGAGAAAATCTAGAATCCAAAAGCAAGGCTTCATGGGTGATTCTGGTGAGAGCTCAGAAGACCAGAATGCTGACTGACAGGAACGTGGACAGTGGAGGCCAGGCTCAAAAGGTTTCAGACGGAAATGAAGACTTGGGGATTACACTAGAGACCATTCTTGTTACATACTGGCAAAGAATTTGTCTGTACTTTGTGCATGTCCTGATATTTTAGGAAGGCTGAATTTGAAAGTATTGGACCAATTAATTGGAGGAGGAAATGTCATGCCAGCGTAACATTCAGGCTGTGGCATGGTTACGATGTAATAGTTTCCAGTGAGAATGAGGAGCCAAAAGCAGAGCAGAAAGATTTGAAAAATGTACAATTTGGCCAGCAAAGGAGCAGGTTTAAAGTTGTGGATAAAGGAGGGCATGGTTGTTAAAAAGATTTGTGCCATTAAAAGGAAATTACTTTGGCCCTAGCATGGTGGTACATGCCTATAATTCTAGCTTCTTGAGAGTCAGAAATCAGGAGGATGGATCATGGTTCATGGCCATGAAAAGTTAAGTGAGACCAAGAATCTGGACATGGTAGTGCATGCCTGAGGTCCCAGCTATGTGGGAGGCTGTTCAGAGACCAGCCCCAGGCAAAAATTCTAGCCCCTATCTTAAAAAATAATTAAATCATAAAAGGGCTGGGGGCGTGGCTGAAGTGGTAGAGTTCTATCTAGCAAGTGTGAGGCTCTATGTTCAAACTCTAGTACCACCAAAATTTATTTTTAAAATAAAAAAATAAACTACTGTGCATCAGGACAATAGGAAATAAGCCAAACCACACTCATCATTGGCTGAAGGGTATGAAAGAATAACTTATTTGTAAGTCATTGTTTTGTGAAGAGAGGTCTAGCATTCCCTGTTCATGTAAGGCTGCCTAAAGGAGTGTTTTTGTGGGTTCAGTTACGCAGACACAGGTTGCTGTAGCCTTGATCCAAGGGAACTTGGCTACAACTTGTGCTGGCAGAAGACCTTGACATTGTCTGCATGATGCTGGTTTTGCAGGCATGCATAATGCAAGACTTACTGGGGTCATGGAGGGTTCTACCCAGATTTCAAGGGAAAGCCTAGGAGGCCAGGTGTGTGTAATAGGGTCAGAGTCCTTGCAGGCAGCTTCTGAGGGTAATATGAGAAGCTGTGCAGGCCTATGTTGCAATGGAAACCCAGGAAATGCCAGGAATATGGAATATGTGCTGAAGAAAACTGCAGGCAATGAGTGGAGCCAACCCAAGAGACTACAAGTGGCAAAGCACAGGAGTGGGGCTCTGCAAACCCTTTGGAGCTCGTACCATAATACCATGTTCCCCGAATGACAGATACCATGTTCCCCGATTGGCAGACACAGAGCTACAGGATTTAATTTTTCCCTGTTGGGTTTCAGTCTTGCTATAGTCCCATTCCCCGCTTTTGGAATTGGAATGTTTACATTGTGCCATATGTGAGAATTATATTACTTTCTTTTTGATTTTTAGAGGGGCTCATAAATAAGATACTGTCTTTTGAATCTCTGGAGAAACTCAGGACTTAGACTTTTTAGCAGTGTTGGAGCTTTTAAGACTATTGGAACTCTTGGAGATGAATAAAATGCATTTTGCATTATGAGATGGCCATATTCCTTTGGAGGCCAGGGTGAGTGATATGATTTGAATACTTAATATCCCTCACAGACTCAGATTGACTACCTGGTCCCCAGCTGGCGGTATTTTTTGGGAGGTTGTGAAACTCTTAGGAGTTAGGACTTAACTGATAGAAGTAGGTCCTGGAGTATCTCCTTAAAGCTGATACCCGGTCCCTGTTGGTCTTCTCTCTGCTTGCTGTCTACCGTAAAGTGGACACTCTTAACTCTAAGGAGGCAGAGTTTTCATGCCACTGCTGTGGTGTTCTGCCTAAGTATGTGAGGCCAAGCTACCATGAACTGAACCCTCTACAATGGTGAGTGTAAATAAATCTTTCCTCACATAAGTTATTTCCATTAGCTATTTGGTCACAGCTATACAAAAGTAACCCCATTTAATCACCTGTAGTTTTCTTATATGAAAATTAATATTTCTGTTGAAGTTATAGGCCTTGATGAATGTATGCTATAAAACATGCCATCATTTTCTTTCTCATAGCTCTCAACCCAAGTAGAAAGAGAGGAGCAATTGTTTGAATCCCTGGTGCCCAGTTATTGTTTGTTCCTTAAAGATTTCTGGCTTCTTTTGACTAAGATGATCCATTCAAGATTGAGCATGGAACAAATAGTTCCTAGATTAAAAAACCTATAATATATTAATTCTTTGTCCCATTCTCTAACTTCCCTCTAGTATTAGTTTATCGACTTTGCTCTATCCTGAATATCTGCAAAGAATGCTCATATTCAGATTAAGATTGGAGAACATATCATTAAGGATAAGTATTTTTTTTCTATGATTTCTTTACAGCTTGTTTTAATGGGCTCTTACTTGACTGTAAACTGCTAGTATACTATGCTCACTAGAAAACTAAATTTTGTATGCCATTAGTTTTATATGAAACTAGATTTTTTTCCTACACTCAGATCAGCAAACACAAGATCCCCCTTATATATTCCTTTAACAAAGAGACCTTTTGCAATAATGGTATTTCTTACCAAACATCCTTTCCAAGTTCTTAGTCTGCATCCTGTCCCACCTTTTCCTTTTCCTTGGGATGGTGAGTCATGTACCCAGTCCCTAGTAGTCTTTCCCACATAGTAGGTGCTTTGTACACGTTTGGTGAATTGCTTGTCTTTTGCTTTGTCCTTATTGCCTTCATATTATTTGTCCTTGTGTTGCAGTCATTGATAAATAGAAAATCCAGATTCTTATACCCTACATTGATGCATCCAAGCAAGATATGTAGATTCAGCAAGGGTGATAATAAAAGTTTATTAAAGGTTAGGAAAAAAAGTTACAAAAGGCCATGATGGTCCAGGTGGGAGGTAGAAGCAGAGAGAGAGAGAGAGAGAGAGAGAGAGAGAGAGAGAGAGAGAGAGAGAAAGAGATCGATCTGTGTTATAAAGTGTTTGTAAAAGATCTTGCTAGCCTTGCTAGCTCATGGAAGGAATAAAACCCAAGCAGTTTTTGATCACCAATAATGAGTGAGTGCAGAGCAGTTTGGGTGGCCCCTACACTAGGGTGTGAACAATCTGTGCATATTTGCAATTGAAAAAGACAGTGAAAGAGA